AGGGCACCACAGTTCGGGGCACCGCCTGTCCGGGGCACTGTCTGTCCAGGGCACCGCGGCCCAGGGCCCCACCGTCCGGGGCACTGCCTGTCCCGGGCACCACCTGTCCAGGGCACCACCGTCCGGGGCACCATGGCCCAGGGCACCACAGTCCGGGGCACTGCCTGTCCGGGGCATCACCGTCTAGGGAGGGGAGGGGAGGCTGCCAACTCACGTCCTCGCTTCTTGGTGTAGATGCAGGTCAGGGCCAGGTACTCCCAGAGCATCTCCAGCAGGTAGTCCAGGTTCAGCTTCATGCCGCAGCTGTGGGGTGAGGGCGGCCATCAGGCAGAGGCTGTGGGCAGGGGCTGGACTCTCCGCTCAACAGACTGCACACCCTCCATTGGCCGGGCACAAGCACCATGGCCAAAGGCCCATGACCCCCTGGGGACACTTCGGCTTCCTGGTGCCCCACCAGCCATGCCCAGGTGAGCTGATGGCGGGCTGTGGCATCCGCACGATGCAGGGCCTACAGGGAGGAGGCCTGGGCTGGGATGAATGGCCAGCAGAGGCTGGAGCTCTGACACCAGAGCGAGCCCTCCCTGAGGGAGGGCCACAGGGCCGTGGGCAGCTGGGCAGAGATCGCACATGAAGGAGGCAGCCGGGCCCCTGGCGGGCTTAGCTGACCATCTGCAGAGCCGCGGTGAGTGGGAGTAGGTGCAGGTGTGGACTGCAGCGTGGACGGCTCGTGTCCGAGCACAGGTGTCCTCACGCAGCCCCTGAAAGGCCTGGGAAGCGACAGGAGCAGTGCTCCCAATGTGACAAGGGAGGACACTGCTCTTGGCAGTGGCTGCACTGCCTAGGCCATGGTCCACGCCTCCCCCTGCCACTCGCATGGACCCCCGCTGGGTCCCTGAGTGTCTTGCTCCCGGAGCTGCAGCACCAGGTCTGAGCTGGGAAGCCAGCAAGTGGAGCGCTTGGCCCACCCCACAAGGGCACCCTATTTGGCGGTGGGGAGTGAACTGCCAGCCAGCCCAGGCAGCACCCCCAGAGGCCCACCTGCAAAGTGGCGCAAAACAGCCACACCTGCCGGCGCCCCAGGAAGGAGCTCCCCGGGGCCCTCCTAGGCACTGTGCTCTCTGGACGGCTCGGGCACTCTCGGCTTGGTTGATGAAACACTCTTGTTTCTTAGCCAGAGCCCAACGGGCATCGCCCACCCCGCCGCCGACTCAGGGCCGGGTCAGGCGCCTGCCCCAACGGCTGTCAGGAAGGGACCTTGCGCATGGCTCCTTGGCCTCTGCCCAGGAACAAGAGGCTCTGCCCGGGTAGGGGAGGCTGGGCTTCACAGGGGTCATGAGCTGGAGCCCCCAGCTGGGCAGGATGGCTGGCTGCTGGTCTGAGCACAAACATGGGATGGCAGAGCAGAGGGTGCCGGGCCTCACCTGATGACCACGCTGTTGGGCTTTCGGGCCAGGCGGTCCACCTCCTCCATGGAGATCTGGTCGATTTTGTTATAAACCTGCGATGGGAAACTGGCATGGGTGCTGGGGAAGGAAAGGGCCCTCTGCGGTCCCGGCCTGACCACATTCTCCCTCGGATCGCCACAGCGGGGAGCTGACCTAAGCATCCTCCCTCCATCACTGCAAGGCAGAGCAGGGCTGAAGGGGCTTGGAGGTGGCTGGGCCCCCCAGGAGGAAAGGTTGGGCTGGAACTCTGGTTTCCAGCTGTTGACATCTGTAAGCTTCCAGCAGTCACCGAGGCAGAGGGAGGTGAGGGCGGGGAGAGCCCAGGCTCTTCGGCAGGACTCAGGACGCCTAGCTCAGGAAGGCACTCTGAGTAGGCAGGTCCGGGCCAGCCCCGGGGCCTCCAGGTGCTGGCACTTACGTAGAGGCAGGGCATGTACACGCGGTTGCCCACGATCACGTCTATGAACTCGTCTGGGGAGCAGTCCTCCCGGAACAGCACTTCCGCGTTGAAGATCTCTGGTGGCTCAGATTAAGGGCGACCTGTGCACCAGCAGCCCCTCGCGTCCCCTCTGCAGAGGGCCCCAAAGGCAGAAACCTGCTGGCTGGAAGGGAGCTTGGTGGTTACCTGCCTAGTAGGTTGTACAGGATTTTAAAGCCTGGGGACCCCGTCATTTATTCCCTGAAGGGACCAAAACATATACAAGTCTCAACTAACAGACAGCTTACTGGGCCACCAGGAAAGTCACGGCACACCTCTCTGCTCTCAGGCAGGGACAGGCGCCTCAGTGGAATGCCAGGTTCCAGTGACAGGAGCGTGACCTGCGGCCTGGTCTAACCAGCTTCTCCCACAGGGCCCTCCCGTGGGGCTCCGGCCTGCTGGGAAGCCTGCGCCCCCCCCCCACCCACCCAGACAGGTGTGCGCCCGTGCACCAGAGCCAGCGCCCCATACCCGGTTCTTCCCACGGTGTCCCTAGGCCAGGCACCCGGGTCCTCGGGGCCATTCCCACAGTAGCTCATTTTCTTCTGGACGTCCTCCGGCCACGGGGCACCTAGGCCTAGCGGAGGGCAGGAAGCCAGTGCTAGCGTGCAGCCGCGGCAGTGAGCTCAGTGGGAGTGCAGGCGGAGGGCGACAGGGCCTGCCTCGTGTCACGGGCTGCGGCTTCCTAGGGCTGCTCGGATGCACCAGGTACTGGGGAGGCCTGTTGGAGGCCGTCCCCGCCCCTGCCCCGACAGCCGAGACCGGCCTCCCTGCCTCTCCTGCGGGAAGGATACTGTACTCGTGCAGAATGAGCTGCACCAGCTTCTCCGAGCACTGGGTCAGCGTGACCGTGGAGTTGAACGAGATGCCGCCACCTTTCTTGGGCTGGAGGAGAGGGAAGGGGCAGCTGCTGAGGCGGGAGCCGCAGGGCCGGCCCGACCTGTGCTGCCCGGCCGCAGGGCAGGCCTCACCTTGAAGTAGATGTTGGGCTTGTGCTTGTTGAGGCGGATGCCCACAGACTCCAGTTCCTTCTCCAGCAGAGACCTGGCAGGACGCCCGGAGCCCTCACAGGCTGCCCGCGAGAACCCCTGCCGCCGGATGGGCCCCCTCCCCCCTTCCTCTCGGGTGCCCTTCCATTGCCCCAAGGTAGGGGGCTCTAAACACCCTGTGCCACAGTCCGAAGGGACATGCCCGCTTACAGTCGGCCTGCAGACAGCTGGCACAAGTCCCACAGAGTAAGGGACCCCACCGCCCACCCCTGGGAGTCCCGCTGGGCTGCTGCAGCAGGCTCCTGGCGGGTCGGGCAGGCCATGCTCAGTAGCCTAGCCCCAGCCTTAAGGAGAGGGCGGCCCGGGCTGGGTTGGCGGGATCCAGCCAGTGGGCAGTCCCACCCTCCTGCAGGGGTGAGGGCCAAGTGCCCACGGACTGGCCCCGGATCCCTGAGAACTGCCCCCCCGCGGACCTCTGCACCTCGCCCTTGGTGGCGTCCAGCATCATGATGACCACGTCGGCCGTCCGCGCCACCGCGATCACCTGTCGGCCACGGCCTTTCCCTGGATGGGCAGGAGGGTGTGACCCTCAGCAGGGGGCGCCGACAGGCAGGACCGGGACCAGGGCCCGACCTGCAGCGTCCAGCTCCCTGTGCTTTAGTCCCACACGGCCTCGGCCACGTGCTGCCCCCGTGGTGACCTCCTCGGCATCCTTCTTCAGTCCGAGCCTCACGGACACTCGTTTTAGAGGAAATCGGAAGTCGCCACCTAAGTGGAGCGACACGGCCCGCCTCCCCGCCCTGCCAGGGCAGCCCCGGGCTGCACGTCCACGCGCATCACCCCACCCTCGGAACTGCTGGGCCCGTCAGACGGCACACGGAGGCTCGGCTCGAGTCCCTCCATCACGGGGCAGGGTCACAGCGCTACCGCAGCCCCGCCTTTGACCTTAGCCGTCCTCCCAGAGCCGCGCCCAGGGCCCCCCCCATG